TGCTCAAATACAATGAATAGGAAACAACACAAATAATGAATGACTTTATGTAGTGGTAGTAGTGAGGTGAGGGCTACATATTTCGACAGACCTAAGTAGTATGTAACACCAATCAGAAGTTGAATACCTGTCAAAAGAAGATTAGGAGGATCGCACTAAAGAAAACGGAAAATGAAAAATAAAGAAATGGAAGAACCATGAACGATGTGAAAGACAATTGATGGAAGATTTGCAACTGAAGTATTTAATGAATGGTTCTGATATTTTATGAAAGAGTTTTTTAATTTTTCATTAAACACCGAATTAGTAATCCCCACCAAGCATTCGCTCACTACAGTAGTACGAGAATAGAAAATTAACTGTGTACTGGTGATTTACATTTGCCAGCTATGTATTAAATATTTTAACATTATAAAAAGTAAATATACTTAAAAACAACTGTTATTAGAAATTTCTCATTTATATAATACTTGCCGAATTATTGGTTGTATCGAAATATTGCCAGTAAAACAAATACAACGTTATAAAGATTCTGGTATGTTGTGTATTTTGTTGCTAGTCATAATGATTTTAGTAAATATTGACTATTTAGAACAGTTTAATTTCTTTTGAAAATTCTTCATAATTTCTAATTAATCTGTGCATCTGTAGATTAAATATGTAGTGTCGGTTACTATGCTAGCACACATAGCTTATTTTAGCTTTCGGACAGGCCAATCTATTCATTCTTCTTGAGTCATATTTTGACCTTATTAATGATTTGCTTATCAAACTTGACTTTTTATGTGAGCGCATTTGTGTGTACGTCTTACCCTATTCATTATATGTCTGTAACTTGTTTTTGTGTGACTATAAATATCGATTAACGCATGGTTAAGTTGAGTTGGCTAACATGCTTTCTACACCGCGCGTCATTTCGTTTCACACTTTCCTCTCCACTACTCTGATTGATTGTCTGTTAGGATCAACGATTGTATGAAATATACGTATTCGAAATTCATTCTCGTATTTGACGTATTTACATTCGTTATTCACTAACGCAAGTTAAGTCGATAATTATATACGACGATATATAAATTTCAATAAAGATCATAATACGATCTACCTGGAGTGAGATACAGGGCCACAAAAATTATTTATAACTTATATAATTGTGTTATTAAGTTTAACATACAGGCACGTATATCAAGTAATTTCCTAAACATTTGAAACAACTTTGTTTTTATTATTTGATGACTTTATTTGTTTTCAGAAATAAAGTTCTATGATCATGTTTTATTAAGATTTACATTTTCATTTAGGAATTACGTTACTTGGTAAATCACATTAATAAACTTCAATAAACCAAATAGCATAGAAATCCTTCATTTGATGTACATGAATGGAAAGTTTGAAACTAGAACATAACTCTAGTTGGTTGTGTAAATTAGTTTTATAAGTTCCTGATCCTTGAACGAAAGTGTTTTTTTTGCAAATGTGATGTTATATATTTGCTTCAATGGTATTATTTTAACTTTGGTTACTATAGAAAAGAAAATTTTTATTTGATAAATGTAAAAAAATTGTCTTAAAACCAGTTCTTCCTAGCTCTATATGGAGTTATGAATTAATCATATAACTAACTAACCAAATGTGAACAGTTGTCTATATATTTATTTGAACACATAAATATTGATACAAGAGGGCACCAGTTATATATGCGCCACACAAATCTCATAGGATTTGTGCGAGGCTTGTGATACTGCTCGGGTGCCCAAACCGAAGTAGGTAGTTTCCTTATGGGGCTACACCCGGAGCCTCCGATCCAAAGGTCTGGTCCACAAGACAGTGGAGCATTGTGAGGAGATGCAGTTCCATGGTTGCCGGTGACCAACGATTGGTTCATACGCCATTTGTTCCTTTAGGATACTTGGGCCTATGTGTACCATTGGTTTGGAACCAGGTTTTCCAACTCTACCAGGTGGATTCTTCATATCTACGAACCTGGGCTAAAGTGCTGGACATTCGCCTCTCAATTCTGTAAACAACAACCTCGCCACAAGAAGTGTGAACAGTTAGTTTAAGCAACTCTGATATTGTTTTTCTCAGTATGTGATTAAATATTTAAAAAAACATAGAATAATATGCTTGAATGAAGTAAGCTCAATGTAACAATTTATTATTGTCAAAGTTGAACTAATAGAACACATTTACTATATATTTTTTTCTAAAGTATACTGTAGACAATGGATTTGGAAACTGATCATAACAGTAACATATAGTTATGTTTAAGTTATAGAATGATTGATTTAGTCTATTTTTTCGACAACTGAATATTTGTTATTGTTTTGTTCTTGTTTTCCTTTCATCGTTTTGACATGTAGAACATGTTAATTTGATGCTTTATATTATGAATTGTTTTAGGTATGTACTGGAAATGTCAAATTATTACACAAATGTTTAGCCATCTAAGTGTTTCTAGACTGTTGATGGATGGTTTTTATCATTTTGAAAATATATTTATACTTTATGATACATTACATAATTAGGAAATAACCAGTAAACTCGGTTGAGTTACTTATGAATTAAAATATACACATATTTCACTCAAAAATGGTTGTTTTTGTATAGGCTTTTATAAGAATAACTACAAGATTGATATTAATTGAGTTTTGACATTTTTCTAGTACTATTCGAAGGTCAAATGAATTGAGAAGTACAGTGAGTTTGATTAACCGATGGGTATCTTATTATGCTAACAACGTTATTAAGTCCTGTATATTTCATAACTTCACTGTCAGAATAACGTAGATGTAGGAAAAATTAATACTTATTAACACTACCATGATGTTTTAAATAATAATTGAATTTCAAATGTTTTTTCTCAACATAATCAAATACCCTGGTAAATGGATTCGACTACTGTTATGTTATTCTATACACTGATACTAAAAAATGACAGTTATAAAATATTGTCATTCATGTAACTTCACACTCTTTTTAATCTTAACCAGATAGTACAGATTATATTCGTCAAAGTCATTACAGTTCCCCGAACGTACATGATTTAATGAAACACGTCGTAAACAATTTATAAAGCCTATTCAAGACATTCAAAGGATGACATAAAAGATTTCCGATTTACTTGCGAAAAAACTACTGATTCATTAATCGATAAGTTTCTTGATTGAAGATTCATAGAGTACAGAATTAATTTATCTGTGTAAGCAATAATTCGCCATAACATAAAGCATTTTTGTTATATTGAAAATGAACGCTTAATTTCGAAATTGTATATGCACCTTAACCACCAAAATATCTAGTCGAGTTTATTGTGTATGAGCTATAGTTAGAGCAGTACCACATTAAGTGGTTTGTCATGTCCAGTAAAGCGAAACATATGTTTTATTGGAAAAGAAACAATGAATTCAAATTATGTAAACCTTTAAATTGCTGTCAAAAGATTTACTTTTATTCTGGTTAATCAATTAGCATATTAATGGATTTTGATAGAAAGATAAATAAAAATTTATAACATAGGAAACCTATTCCGTCATTGAATATGAAATAAACATAATTCAGTAAAGAAAACTTTCTTTTAGGCAATATTATTTACTAAATCTGTACAATTGTATCTATATTCTATTAGAATGCATAATTTTATAATAAAATAGACAATTATTACGTCATATAAAGCGTGATAGAAAAGTTCTTTCAACGTATTAATACGTTTCGAGCAATCTGACCGCACATATATTTATGAAGAATATTTGTGTGTAAGGCATGAAAGGTCAACTAGACAAATGGAGGCTTAGATAGAGATTTAATAAAAAAGTATGAAGATTTGTGAAGATTGTAGTATTTTTGTAGTTGGATTCACAAGTCAACCTAAGCTAGACCAACATTGAGAACCTTAAAGCACTGGACAGCCATCTCATCCTAGGAAGAGACTCCTCAGCAGAACTCATACACGACTCCTCACATGGGACTTAAACTCAAAACTTTCGATCTCGCACGCGAATACTTAACATCGATTTGTGTTAACGGCTAACCTCAATTGATTCATGATCTTTAAGATTCTCTCAGTAGTTAAGTTATATTTCAACTGTCACTCTATACTGCAACTAAAATAATGTTAATTCCAGAGATTAGAATTGATCTCATTCTATAAAATGAATAGATCTTAGTTCAGTTTCAAAATGTAAATATATAAAGAAATCCTAATGAAATCAATTAATTAATAAATAAATCCCTGTTATTAAATTACTCATGAATTCTTACAATTAATTTATCTTGGTAGCTATGAGAAAATTCAACATACAATAAGTGTATATGATATAATTAAGTGATTTAAATATTCTTTTTGATTAAGATCATGAACCGATTAATGTTAGACCACCGTTGGAAACCTGGAAGTACTTCATCATGTAATTCATTCTATGTTTTGATAATCAGTTAACAAACTTTTTTGTTATAATTCTCAACTGTATCATAAACAATCACTTTATACAAAAAATTTTTTTTAAGAAACGTTAAAACAAAACAAAAACAATCTGACTTAATAGTTAAATAAATAATGAAAATAAAATTTTGTACACATTTATTCCTCATTAAACTCGTAGTTAGATAGATACACTCCATTATGGATTATTTTTACATATTTTCTCATATGTTATATGTTCCTCAAATTTTGCTTTCATTTATTATTGTAAAGTAAAACTTGAAAAAAGTCTAATTAGGAAAAAAACAAAAAAACAACAACAAACAAATAGTATCCCTTTTATACAATAGGAGAATAAAAAAAAACAACAACAGTCATCATTATCTTAAAGGTGTGTTTGTATCACATCGGAAACATTGGAAACTAAAATCAGTTGTACAGACATACAAAATAATGACAGTTTAATTCACCTGATAATATGATTGGTTCTTATAATTTAATAATTTTTTTGTTATTCAATGTTATAAAAAGGGTTATAAAATAATGTACCATTAAGTTTTTCTTTTCTTTATTTTTTTTCTTTGTTTTTAATGAAAATGAGTTTAATGATGGATTATTACTATGGAATATGTTGATGAAATCAAGTGTTTATTTATTTAACTGACATTAAAAAGTGAATTAATATGTATGAAATAATTGTAAATAACCTTTAACTATTTAACAACCATAAAAAATTTAGTTTAAATGAAATACTTTCTATAAATATTCGTCAATATTAAAATGAATAGTATAAGAAAAATTGGGCGTCAAGTATAGAGAAGTCATTATATGTGATATACACTTATTTGGATTAATAATAAACTTAAAAGTGAGTTTTAATGAAATATGAATTTGACCTAGTTGTTTCAATATTGTTGTTACTATAGGGTGTATATGTCTTTTTTTCCTGAAAAAAAAGAACGCCTATAAAAGTAACTTACCATTTGTTAAGTATGCTGCTTGACTCGTTACTAGTAAACATATTGTCGTTTCAAAAATGTTGCTAATAATATATATACTTAGTTTATGTGGTCTGATTAGCCTTATAACGACATGAACATATGCTCACTAGTGACTGGTTTCAAGAGGTATATCCTGGAGTTCTGGTGAGAAGCAGTGAACAATGGAGTTCAACCAGGTCTGATGTGAGATATTAACTTACTAAAGACAATGGTGGATGTGTCGCTTAATGTCGTTGGTTAGTTGAAGTTAGACATTAACACCGCTGCATGCCGGCCAAGTGATATAGGGGTTAAGTACTCGCGCGCGAGACTGATATGCCCTGGGTTGGAATCTTGCAAGGGGAAAGGTCATGGATGAGCACTGCTGGGGATTCCCACAATAGGACGAAACGGCCGTGTAATGCTTCCAGGTTTTCCATGGTAGTCTAGCTTCAAGTGACTCATGATCTTAACCATTGAAATTACTATAATATCTACAAAACCCACCTGATATATGTCTGATTATTTATGGCTTTAAGTATATCAGTAATATCGAAATGAAATACGGGTTATGAACTGTAAGAAACATTTGTCATCTTGTTAAGACAGAATAACACTTTTTCAAGGAATCACTTACTTTATTATTAATGAATTATAGTTCATTATAATAAACATAAAAATCCAATGTTAATTTATGTAGTGAAATAACGATAAAACAAAATTCTTTTATATGAGGTTTTATAATATGATCTTCAAAATTTTGATGTGTGAATACAACATAAAAAATTTAATATTATAAAACCTCTGATCTGTTTACTATTCTATGATATCAGAGACCATAAGCTAAAAGTCACTGATTTCTATTGAAAACATAGTGTACCGTATCGATATATATATAGTGGTGTTAACCTCACTGAATATTTAATCTACACTCATAACCTTTCATGCATTTGGTTTTATGACAAGATTCTCATAAATTTAAGTCAACAGATATCGCAAAATGTTTTGATTGATGATAACTAGGTGACACTTTATCGCTATTTTATTCTAAATTGAGATTCTGCAGCAGTTCATAATAATTGTGTTTAGATGCCTTATATCTGACTTCAATTGGATTATATGCTGATTTTTATTGAAATACATATGCCGGCTATCCTCGCATATAATTATCGACGTAATCTTCGTTGGTGAATAACGGAATTAAATAACTATATTTCATGCACTCATTGATTTGAACAGGCAATCAGTAAGACGAAGCAAAGAGGGAAGAGAGAAGCAGACTAGAGAAGGCAAGTGAGCCAACTTGATTTAATCAAGCGTTAATCGATAATTTATAGTCACACAAAAGTAAGTTACAGACATATGATGAATAGGGTAAGAAGTGCACACACAAACGCACAAATAAAAACAGTTAAGGTTGATAAGCCAATGATTGACAAGGTCAAAATATGACTCAAGAAGAATGAATAGATTGGCCTGTCCGGAAGCTAGAATAAGTTATGTGAGCATAACATAGCAATCGACATTATATGTCAACAAATCAAGAGAATAAAATATCCAACGTCCACAGCTTAAACGTTTACCCGGAATTCTTTATGTCTATGTTAAGTATTTATTAGAAATATCAAAACAATTTACAATACATTTTAATAAACCCGACTTAATTTCAAACCATTTTATACAGATTATTTCTGATATTAATGAAAACTTAGAATGTATGATTCTAAACGTTATACCGATTGAATACGAATGTTTATTAAGAATGATTTCTTGACATTTAATTATTATCCTTTCAAGTAATAATATGCTCAGATTACAAATGTAAACAAGATCTAATTGTATAATAAAAATATGAGTTAATTATGATGATTAATTTATTATGTAAGTGAATCACTTTAGTAATGTTAAGTTCTATGAGCTAGATGATTTCATTCATGAAGTTTCGATTATTATTCGTGACAACATTAATTAAGTCTACTTCACTTAGAAATGTACCTTTAAATTATTTCACTAGTGTTAAACCAATTTATCCTGATGTCCTTGTATGTGGTTTGTTAGCAACTTTAAAAATCATTTGTAAGATTTTAAAAGCGTATGAAATCAACGTTTTTGATAAAAAAAGATGACAAAATCACTATATTCTTTTTTATGTATAATGAAAGAGAGAACAGCAAAAAAGACAACTGTAATATTATCTACAAAGTGAATATTATGAAATACAAGAAAAATTATAGGACACTTTCACTTACAAAAAATATCTAAGGGTGAAATATCACTGTCTCTTATCGTTGCTATCAAGGAATGTGGACTAGCACGGATATGAATTATGTACCATCTAATTAGAAACATTCAAAGTTTGTCATTCAGCCAACTGAGTTCAATGACAATATTGATGATATTAAACAATATTCATATAGGACCTAGAAATTTCGTTTTTAAATTGACTACTACATATGTGTAATTGAGAGGTATTCTATTCTATTAATTTCTGATCATATAGTTTACGTTATCTGGGCACCATCTTCATATGGAACAAGGATATATTATTTCAAAGAATAATATTTAATTATTTTTTTATTTAATTTGTGTAACAACCAAATGACAGTTTGAATGATTATTAACTGAACTATGATTAAATTATTTGACTTCCAATTATAATAGTAATGTAATCTGTTTGTATTTTATGTGTTTGTACATCACTTAACTCATATTTATATAAGGAAAATATTTAAAAGAGAAAGATGTAGGATGCTCTACAAAAACAAAATCCTCACCTATTTTAGCTATGGACTTATTAAAATTTTACCATTGAAAGAGAATTATTTATAAAGAATTTCAGAAGACATTAGATTTTAAAAATTGGTAGTTGATTAAGTTCATAAAGAACACTGAAGTGATCATGGTTTCTTTAAAAATTCACTGGTCATTTTCATACGTTTTGTAAAAATAACCTAAATCTTAAAATCACCTGTTAACATAGAATTATCACTTTGTTGAACATATTTACATCAATTCTAAAAGTAAAGTATTCTACTCTTAGTTTCGTTTGAGATTCTAACAAAAGTTAAGAAACCTTAGTTTATCAGACCATTTCACCGAGTCCATTGTTTCTTTATAAATTTTCATGGTAGTCCATTACTTTAGGTAATTACTATTAAAATCTTTTCATGTTAGTCTAAAATATAATTTTGTTTTTCTGTAAGATTTGAAGTTTTTACATCGGTAATATTCAATAATCATGAAATATATGGTCCTAATGAAGTAATTCACTATTAAATCATGTATCTTCTAGTATAACGAATCTGAATATTCGAAATTAAAATTAGTCAAGCAAAACGACTTGTAACTAAGTTTCTATTTTCTTTTGTAACACCTTGATAACGAATAGAATGTTATTTCAAAAAAAGTCACTAAAAGGGTAACAAAATAGTAAATAAATAAGTCATAACACAAAACTTTAAAAAAACATACTAACAAAGTATCGAAAAGGTTTGTGCAATATAGTCATAAATTGAGCATAATCTTTCCTATAGTCTTGAATAACGTTTTTGAAATGAAATGTTAAGTGATGAACTGATTGTGTGACTTCCTATTCAATATCAGTTCAAAACAATTCTGAAAAAGAAAAAAAGAAAGTTTAGCAGGAGAGGTAAATGATGTAAATTATTAAGAAAATGTAACCAAATGTAAGCAAATGAACTAAGGTACCTTACACTATCAGTGGGTTTAATCTGAATTAGCCTCCTTGGTTCTAGTCAACTTACAGATATTAATGATTCCGAATACAATATGAATAACCTCGAATGAAAAACAGAGTAGCGTAACGAAAGATAGCAGGTTCGAACAAATGAACAAAGTAAACTGATTAAGCACAATGAGTAAGTTACAACTTAGTAGGTAAATAAATCTCATTTTTAAATCTTCAACCAATTATTGACACATTGGTCTACAGTATAGGACATTAACTTCACTTACAATAGGATGACTTGATGAAAAAAGAAACCAACTTGAAGATTACGCACAATAATCAAAGAAGTAGGCAATAGAAGAGAACAGATTAAACATCTAAAATTATATGCTTCTGTCTAAAATATGATATAAAGTTTGAAACATTCAAAGTTTTTTCTAACTTACAGATGTAAGTTGTCCCAAGTTATCTCCATTCAGTTTTATGGATGTTGGTCAGTAACCCAAACAATCGTTTGTGTCGTCTTCAAATAAATTATCCAAATTATTGATTTTGTTCAGAAATATCAATGAGAATAAAGGTAACAATTATATCAAAACTTCATCTGAAAATTTATCAAATACAAAATGTCGATAATTTATTATAGAATTTTCTTACAAATCAACTTTCACTCTGTGTTTGTTGGTGTATTCATAAGAATCTTGAATTTAGTAACCTTGTCCTAATATATCATACCATTTGAATATTTAATATTATGTAATAGTTCTGAATTTGTTTGTGTTTCATTATTCGAGCTACCTGAATTAAAGACATATTTTAAAGTTTTTAACAGATAAACTGAAATTCTCAAAAGGTATTTATGAAATGTTAGACAGAATACTAATCGTTCGTTAATACAAATAAATAGAATTTAATGAGTTCGATTACAGACAGTCTTTACTCCAAACGCGTAACAAATGAATAACTTAGAAGAAAACATTATGGTTTCTGTAAAAAGAATCTTTATAGATTTATTTTAGTTCTAAAAGTTCAAAAAAATAGTTCGTATGATAATATGAACTTGAAAGTCTTAAGCTTATAGTTTAAAACCTGTAATCATAAATTTAAAAAAAATCAAAACAGTAATTCGCCTGGTATTGGCTATTAGGACACAGCAGCTAAGTGGATAACGCGATGGCATTTAAAGTGAATGGTACTGAG